CATGATGGTGCCGGTGGCGAAACCGTTCACTCGCCGCTTCTCCGGCATCTCTTTCTCTCTCGACCCCTCTGCACCAGAGTCCAGAGAGACACCTGCGTGTGAGCCACACGTGTGCTCGCACGAATCACAGCAAGGATCTGACGGACGCGGAAACTCGGTTGCTGCTCTCGTATGGCTCTTCCATTTCCAGGGAATCCACGGAAGCTTGGAGTGCCATATAATCACCAAAGCCCTCATGACACTGCATCATGTCGTGTTTCATCAGCCAACCACAAATTAAGCTTAGATTTTGTTTTACTTAATGTTCCATTAACAAAGCACTCGTGACAGTATATAGTTACCAAAGAACTCATGACATGGTGTGCGTCAGCTTAAATTTGATTTACTTGATGTTCCTCCAATTAATTTTAAGCCGGGTGGTTTGTGCCCGGCTGTACATAGATCAATATTTCTAAACCTTGCGTGGTGTGGCGTGTGTCAATGTGTGTGATTGATGAACCATATAAACTGAGCTTGATTTGCGTGTGTTTGATGAAACAAGAAATGTTATACTGTCATGACTGCTTTGTTAAATATAAGGCTCTTTGTGATTGTACCAAAGCGTTTGAGTGGATAATCTTGTGGCGCTGCCATCATAGTAGTACCGATAGATTCTTCTTCGTGATGCTGGATTCCTGTCATTTCTGCAGATCCGTGACTTGAATTTACTCTAGTAGGGTTTCATTCAGACGATGAACTGTAAGTTCAGTCACTTCCCACCAAGTTCAGTCTTCTTCTCTTTCCTGTTGAAGACTTCAGATTCTGAAGAACAAATCATTTGGAAACCAGCACATTCAGTTTGGATTCATGATCCATGATTTGGCTCTTCCATCGCATGTCGTTGGTGATGGCCTGTATCTTCACTTAGTGTCCCTGAAGATCACGGCCTCTAGACACCAAGGAATTTACTCTAGTTCACTAGCTTCTCCTCTGCTTTTGCTCTGATTTCTGGACTCTGAATATTTGGCTCGCAGGACACAGCACGGATCTGACGGCCACGGAAACTCGGTTGCGATCTAGTACGAGTAAATGCTACTCCTACAAGTGTACTAGACAGCTTGCAAGAAGCAGCGTGTGTGAGTTGCGTGCGTGGGGGAGACGACCGAGCAGACACCAGAGCAAGTCGTCGGGCGCAACAACTCCCACTTCCACTTGTACTAACCCGAATTCCCCTTCCCTTCCTTCCCTTCCCTTCCCTTGTGTATCTATCAATCGGACGCTCCGGCGCCGGCGCCCATCTCGCGCTCAGCGCCTCGCGTCCTCTTCGTCGGAACCCGCGCCGAGCAGGGGTGCGAGGGAGAGGCGGCGGCGCAGCTCGTCAGCTGAGGTACTACTTTCTTTATTTTATAGTAGTATACACTTCCAGTGCAGCGCACTACACAAAATCTATTTAGGGGTCCATCTTCTACTAGCTAGGGTTCATCCGACTGGGAATTCTGTTTGCAGAATTAGGATTATTACTAGGGTTTGCAGGGATCAACTAAGTTAACCCCTCTTAAATCTTTTCCTTATCCGTCTCCTCTGTTTGTCCAGGTCCAACCTGTGATCAACCAACACGCCCACCGTCTGCAAAGGGGGATTTTCGATCGGTTGATTTGCTAGACCCCACCGATCAATCGATTCTACTCGTGCCGAGGAAGAGATGGCCGGTCCGTTCAGCACCATGATGAAGATCCTGGACATTGGGTTCAAGATCAAGAGCGCGCTGGACAACGCCAAACACAACATGGAGGAGTGCCGCAAGATCGACGCCCTCCTGCTCAGCCTCTGCGCCATCGCCAAGCACCTGCAGGGGTCGCCCAAGATCATGGAGCACCACTTGATGAGGGACACGGCCAAGGGCCTAGACAAGACCCTGCTGTTAGGATAATCATGATTGAGTCAGTTGATTAGGTCGTGTGTGTCATGCACGTAGGTTGGTTAGACTCCAGATTTGTTAGGCTAGCGTGCGTATGTGTGTCGTGATGGTATATGTGCAACTGAGTCCACCATGTAGGGCACTAGGGCTGCGGCCGTTGGCGAGCGGAACGCACGCGCTGGCGAGTCCTCAGGCGCTGCATGCGTGCGTGAGCAGCCGAGGGCTACAAAGCCGGCCCATATCAAGGTGGTTAGCGATCCGATGCGTCCAGGTTGTTAGCTTGTTAGCCGGCTATAGTGGTGGCTGGATTACTACGTGTGTGCGTGAGTTAGTTGCCGGCCAGGTGATATGCATCGGGTATAAAAAGCCCCACCTGTTGTACTGGTTAGTCCAGCGCTTGTGGTATGTGCCCAGAAGAAAAAGAATAGGTCGTGCGTGCGGCCGAGGCGCCGTTCGTGCGGCATATGGCGTTCGTCGCCTGAAAAACTCCAGTGTGCTGTGCTTCTTCTTCTACCTCCGTGAGAGAGAGAGAGAGAGACGTTCGTCCGGCGTTCATGTCGCCGGAGGATACTCGGCGTTCGTCGCCAGACCAGGTTTGTCCCAACACCTGCAGCTCGCGTCCGACCTTGTCGCCAAGTGCATGGCCAAGGGGTTCTTGGACCGTGCTTCAAACGCCAAACACGTCGCCGAGAAGCTGCGCGGGGTCTGCCTCGATGTGCAGCTCAACATGAACGCCGTGCTGCTTGCCAACGGTGTCTTGAACAGCTTGGAGCTGGCCGAGCTTAAGGAAATTGTGGCCAAGCTTGAGGTAAATATGGCTCAGCTCTGCGCCAACGTTTCCTGGAACAGCTCGGAGCTGGCCGAGCTTAAGGAAATTGTGGCCAAGATTCTGCGTATTGTTGCTACACAGCCCGCTGTTCATCTGCAACAAGAGGTATTGTTACCTTACCTTGCCACACGACAACATCTTTATGTATGTACGCATGTACGCATGTACGCATGTACGCATGTATGCATGTATGCATGCATGTATGTATGTACGTATGCATGCATGTATGTATGTATGTAACACTAGGCCTAGTGCCTCACTGATTATGCAGGATGATACCAAAATCTATTTTGTTTTGTTGTTAAATACAAAGCAGAGCTCTAAATAACATACCACATTGTTTTATGTAAGCTTATCAGTTGTAATACTGTATATGAATTCGTTTAGTTTTCTCTTCCTATTTCAGGTGGAAAAATTGGTGGAGGACGACCAGACCAGTTCTCAAATTAAGAACAAAGGGAAGGCAAAGAAAACAGCTGCAGCTACTTCTCAAGACAAAAACAAAGGGGAGGCAGACAAAACAGTTGTTGCCAAATGTATATGTCCCTTTTATCTATCTTGGCGTGCTTTATGCATTATCCAAACATGCCTCTTTTTATCTATTTGTATGAATTTTGTTGGTTATAAATGTCGATGAGTTAACCTCCTACCTTTACTTGTTGGTAAAGCATTTGATTTTGTTGCATGAAACTTGCAGGACGGAAGTTAAGAATCAGAAGAAAAACAAGAAACTAGGGCATAGCACGGTGGTGCCAGATGCTTCCTTACGAAATGGTAACGTCACATCTTTCATGTTACTCTGACCATTACTTGCATCATGCTGTTTAATAAGAATGGATGAAATCACTTAAAAAGTGTCTTTTACAGTACCATTAGTACACATATGTGCTCTTACAGACATTACATGTGTAATCTAAACTGTGACATGTATTTATTGTTCTTCTGGCAGGCTTACCTGAGTTCGCTTCAGCGGACAGTATGGGTGAGAAAGGCTCTAGTACTATTGTTGCTGCACGGCCTGATTTTGATCTGCCAGAAGAGGTATCATTGCCTTACCTTGCCACACCACAGAATCTTTATGTATGTATGTATGTCACACTAGGCCTAGTGCCTCACTGATTGATTATGCAGGATGATACCAAAATCTATTTGTTTTGTTGTTAAATACTGTACAAAGCAGAGCTCTAAATAGCATACCACATTGTTTTATGTAAGCTTCTCAGTTGTAAATGCTGTATATGAATTTGTTTAATTTTCTTTTCCTATTTCAGGTGGAAAAATTGGTGGAGGACGACCAGATCTGTCCTCAGATTAAAAACAAAAACAAAGGGAAGGCAAAGGAAACAGATGTTGCCAGGTAAGGTACCTGCGGAAGTAAGCTCAAGTAGCCTGCCATAGAGCTATCCAAATGTATATGTCCCTTTTATCTATCTTGGTGGATTAGTATGCTCAGTTACTTGGCCTGCTCTATGCATTATCCAAACATGCCTCTTTTATCTATTTTAATAAATTTTGTTGGTTATAAATGTCGATGCATAGGTTAACATCCTACCTTTACTTGTTGGTAAAGCATTTGATTTGTTGCACGAAACTTGCAGGCCAGAAGTTAAGATTCAGAAAAAGAAGAAACTACAGCGTAGCACGGTGGTGCCAGATGCTTCCTTACGAGATGGTAACGTCACATCTTTCATGTTACTCTGACCATTACTTGCATCATGTTGTTTAATAAGAATGGATGAAATCAAACTTATAAAGTATCTCTTAAAGTACCACTAGTACACATATGTGGTCTTACAGATATTACAGGTGTAATCTAAACGGTGACATGTATTTATTGTTCTTTTGGCAGGCTTAGCTGAGTCCGCTTCAGCGGCCAGTGTGGTTGGACAAGGCTCTAGTACTGTTATTATCAATAAGGTATTTCATATGCTTTAGTTTCATTTAAATCATTGTCATAGTTGGGCAACCCGATTTCTTACAAAAGGATGCCTCAAGCTATAATAACTGATCTATACCAGTAATTAAGCTGAACTTCTATACCATTACTGGTCAGAGTAACATGGAAGTAATGGTCAGAGTAACATGGAAGATGCGACGTTTTGTAACGTTTCAATCAAAACAGCACTCTTCAATCGATGGGCCTTAGATAATTTTTTTTAACGTTTTGTAGAATGTAGTAGATTGATCATTTAATTTCCTGCAGTGGTTAATTCTCTTAACTATTTGCATTATGTAAACTGGTTTTACCAGATCATATCAAGATCAATAGAGAATATGAACTTGGTGACATCCATTGACGCGCACCCCACTAAGCCATGGTGAGTCATATTTATAGAATTATAGCCCATCCAGTGACGCAACTCTTATATTAGTAATTCCAAGATTTCCTCTTATTTGCACTATAATATGCATCATAGGATTGTGACGGGTCATGAGAGAGGGAATGTTTCCATTTGGGACTACCAGAAGAAGGTATCATTACTGCTACTTTATAGCCAGCGTTTGGTTGCTAATGTAGTGAAAATTAAGTTGGTGAAACTTAAATCTGCTGATTGTGTGGCAGGAAACTGTGATGAAGTTGCAGGTCAATGAGGTGCCAGACAAGACTACACTCATGTTACATGCCTTGTCTCAGCGCATCAAAGTGAGGCCTCCTAGACATTCCGTTTTTTCAGTCAAATTTATCGCTGAAAGGAAATGGTTGGTAGTGGGGGATGGTCGCGGATACATCTATGTTTATGATTACACCAACACTGAGCTACACATGGTCAACAAATTCAGAGCTCATGATAAGAAATCTGTGAGCTCTCTGGCTGCTCACCCAACAGAGCCATACCTTCTTTCATCATCTACTATTGGTACAAATATCAAGGCTTGGGACTGGAGCAAGAACTGGAAGAAATTTCAAAATTTCGACACCAAACCTGAGATTGCATACTACAATGGTGTGCGCAGTGTCAAGTTGAATCCAAGGGATACCAACACTTTTGCTTGTGTTACCTTTTGTGATGGAGTAAAGGTTTGTTATAGCCTCTTCCTTTCCTAACTCCTCGTATGGTGTGCATGGTGTAGTTAGTGAATAATCGACTAATTCAGTTATTTCGGTAGTTATTTGTATATTTGATGTTAAAAGATGTCTTCTCTGCATGAGATTTATAGGTCGGGAACATCAAAACTTCCAGTCTTAAAACGACACTGAAGGGGCCATTCATCATGGCCGATTATTTCTTCACCCGCAGTCATCAGCACCTGATGGTTACTTTGAGATTGAAGTCAGACAACCCTGAGGTGAAGAATATTAAGCATTGATGATTGTTTTCATGACAGGATTGATAATAGTTGTGTGCATATATAAGCCTCATAATGATGTGAAAATCAGAAATGGGATTTGAAGACACAAAAAGTTGTTCACACTCTTAGCGTGAGTGGGCACAAAACAACTTGGGTTGCTTGCCACCCAAAGCTTCCAATACTGGTTACAGTGTTAGATGACGGGACTGTATGTTTGTGGGATGCCAGTACCTACAGGTAACTATAATGCTTCTGCGCAATATACTAGCTCTTTCCATCTCCTTTTTTAAGATATGCATGTATTCCATGATTCAACATACTATTTTTGACCAACAATCTGCTTAATATATTGAAGACTGCATTCATGTTATCACAACCTATAAAGATTACCCGAACCACCATGACTACAATGGGGTCATCACATATCTTGGCACAACTAGCTGTTCCGGTGGGTTGGTACCTGTAGTTGGTCCACCAGCAGTGTTGTTTTATAAAAAATTTAGCATTGTCTGCATTACTTGATTTCTAGTTTGTTCTTGACTGTATGTTTGTTCCGGCGGATTGCATGTAAAGTTTGGCCAGGCATTGCATCATTTAATCCAATGCCATGGAAGGTTTTTTATTTGTTCCTGAAAGCAACACATATAACTAACGCTGGTCTCCTAATTATATAGGCTTGAGAAAATGGTTCACATTACCGACAGCAAGTGTCGTGATTTGGTATTTGTCCCAGACACAAATGGCCCACTCAGGTACTTCTCAAGTTCTTCTTTTTTTGTATTAGCATTTTCATTTATCTCTAAAATACATGTTGGGTGTGGCTTCTCTATAATAACTAAAGGATATCCCGCAAATTGCTTCGGGATTTGTAGAAAGTACATATTGACCAAAGAATGAGAAAAAAGAAGCAATTGATGCTAGCACTATTATTTTCAGAAATTTTTCGAAGCAAGCTCTATAATGAAACATTGAATGTAAATCGTGGATGCTTGAATGTTTCAAATGCTAATGCCACCTATAAAAATGGACCGAGTATTATACATGAAAACTTGGAGAATCCGAAACATTGTGGGTGTGCAAATGAAGACAGCAAACTGACAAATGCTTGTATATTTTGTTCTGAAGTTACTATTAGTCTAGCTAAAAGAATTATGCCAATTTTGAGTCTACCGTTGAGAGGCACAAAATGGTTTCTCATAAACTATAATCCTCAACTCAACTGTTCTTGCTCGGTTTGTTTTTTCTCTGTTATTATATATTATGATTCTTTCCAATTTCACAATGCTAACCTTTGATTATCTAATCTAATTACATAGGCTTGCTATCGCATTTGAGACAAGGATAGCATTCATGGATGTTAATTGGCCGATTGCGAATACAAGCAATGCAAGTGGACTAATAATGGGAACTAACTAGGAACAACCTCCCCGGAAAGCAAGGCAACGGAGGCCATCACGGAGATTGGGATTATGTATTTGGCGAATTGATATTTCCTCTTGTGATTAATCTTGTAAAAATACTGTTGTGGATAAGAATACTTTTTTGAGCATTGTGATATTTTTATTATATTTTTCTGAATTTTATTCTATTTGTTATGAATTTTCTCATTTGAACTCAAGTTTGAATAATTCAAACCTCAATTTTGAATTCAAATATATTTGTATGGTTCATGTTTGTTTTAGAACCATCTATCTTGTGTTGGTGTTTATGAGTCAAAGACTCACTTGTGTTATTGTTTAAATTTGAAAGCCCAAATTCTGGATTTGAACAAAGATCATGTTGAAATTTACTTCAAAACTTATGATGACCTAGCTCTAACTCATCACCAAGTTCACTCAATCACTTTGTTATCTCAAAAAAAGTTTGAAATTTCCCCACATTTTTCAAATGCATGCTATGCAAATATACAGATCCTAAATCTACCTCTTTCATCTACCACTTCTTTGGGATGTTACACTTGTGTCCAGTGTGTACGTCTTCGTGGTGTGCATGGAAATGTTGGCCTGTGTTGTGGCTCATCAGTGTCATAGGCGGTGTTGGAGAAGCTAGAGGTGGAGGGGTTGTTGCTCCCCTCCGTCTGTTGCACGCGGAGGGTGTTCGGGACAGAGGTAACGCCACTCCCAACGAGTGATGAACGAGTGTTGCTCATGGCCTTCGTTGAGCGGGGGCTCTCCTTCACCGTCAGCAGTTTCGTGAAGCAGTGATGCATGTAATATGCATCCCTAAACTTTATTGTTTATTGTGTTATGTTCCAAGATATTTGCATCTTATTTATGGTTATATCCATGTTCTACATTGATTTCGGGGATTTTCCACATGATCCCCTTTATTTGGGTTATAATCCTGTAGAAGAGGAAAATCTTGTTTTGTGTATTTTTAACTTTTAGGGACCTTCACAAACTCAAAAGGACCTAGGATTTTTTTCTAGAATTGTTTTTCATCAAGACGAAGACCTGGACCACTTGGACTAGAAGACGGACCGCACAAGGGCAGAAAGAGGATAGGTGGCACGGCCCAGAAGACAGGTACTCGGCCTGAGGCCCAAACTTGCCGAGCACGTGCCTCCATGGCATTTCCTTTCACCGCGCTGGGCCGGCCCACGTTACTGTTTAAAGACGCAAAAAACACTGTCTGTCCGGTGACTCGAACCGGCGATCTCCTTGCTCACAGTCCGTTGTCACAACAGATTCTCAGGAAAAAAAAAAGTAAGTTGTCACAACCAACCAGCCAACCTACTTAAGGTGTTTGCTTATAGCCTTTTTCTTATTATAATCTTTGTTTTGCTGGAATGGTTTTGTTTTGTTTTTTGGAACAATCTTTTCTTTTTATTTTCATTTTCATTTTTTTTATTGCAACGGTTTTGTTCATTTTTTCTGTTTCTGCTATATGCGGGAGTATTTTCCTTCAAATTTGTGATTTTTTATTCAAAACTGAAGAACTATTCAATGAGGCCGCTCTGATGGACGAAGATTTCGTCCATCAGATCGAGATAATGACAGAGCGGTCGCTCCATTACAGGGGGTCGTCGCCACCATCACCGGCACACGCAAAGGAGGAGTAGCCTTCCCCGTCGCGCCACCGCATCAAGCCCGAGCTGGCGTCCACGCTCTTGCCGGTGAAGGAGCCGGCCTCGCCCCGACACAACCGCGACGTCCAGATCGTACACCGCATGAAGGAGGAGCCAACCTAGCCCCCGCACCATCGCGGCATCCAGATCGGACGCCGTATGAAGGAGGAGCCTGCGTCCCCGTCACGCCACCTGTACGGCCGCATCGACGCGTCATTCTCCCCGCCACACCACCACCACCTCGCCATCAAGGAGGACCTGCCGCTCGTGATCAAGAAGGCGCGGGCCCGCCTCCTCCACTACCTCGGCGGTCCCTTGGGCTCGAGGGCCGTCGTGTCTGAGGCGGAGTGCGCGGCTCGGCGGCAGGAGCGGTATGGCCGACGCAATGCCAGTCGCCGCTCCGTGTTCGCCTGATTACAGAGATGATTTGAAGCAGTATGATAAGATGGACAATAAGTGGATAACTCTTGGATATTTGCCTATATAGTCATCAAGGAATGGCTCGGACATTGCTTTGCGAGCGTGTGGTGACCGGCTGACTGTCATTGGACCTCCAAGAAATGCTACTGGTGGCACAGTGGTTGAGCTTCATGCATGGATCCAGGATGAGCAACCGGCCGTGTGGAATTTGGTTGCCAAAGAGCCATTAAGCAGTAAGTTCACACGTAAATTGGAGATTTACCGTGCCGTAATGGGTTGCTGAGTCTGTACATTGAATAAAGATTGGAAGCATGCTTAACTAGCGGCAGCATTTGGATCAACAGCAATGTCAGTGCTTAGCGGAAGCTTTTGACCAATACCTGATTCATCTTTGGGCTTTCGCTCCAACAAAGGCATATTGTATTGAGTCCCGCTTCGGTACAACCCCCATCCAAAACGTATAAAGGGCAATATGGACTTTTGACCCGGTATACCCACTTTATACGTATGATAGGAAGAGCAGCTACCTACCAATCAACCTGATAGACGTTGGTGGGATATGAAGAGCTTGCCACTTTAAGAACTAACTACAACACATAATCCTGGCAGCTTTTGGATTTTTTATCTTTTCTTGGAAATTGTGAATATTTTTTTCTAAAAAAGCGAGGATTTTTAAAAATCCAACAATTATTTTTCAACAACTCTAGAAAAGGTTTAAAATTCAATTTTTTTAAAACATTGCCTTTTTTGAAAATCCTAAATATCTTCTGAAAGTACGTGGACTTTTTGGAATTTAGAGAACAAAACTTGTTCATGGGAACATTTCGGAAATTCTGAGCAATTTTTCAAAACCGTGAATCTTTTAAGTAATTCCGAAATATTTTTTGAGTTTTGAGAAAAATTGAAAACTGGAACAGTTTTCAGAAAACAATAACCTATTCTGAAATTCTGGTATATTTTTGGAATTTATGAAAAAATAGGAAAACACGAGCATTTTTTTAATTTTTGTAAAAAAGCTCGAAGATTTTGGGAAACCACAAACAATTTTAAAAAACTAACATGTTTTTAAATTTCTAAACATTTTGGGGAAATGAACATTATTAGAGTGTTGAGAAAAAATTGTAAACGACAAGATTCTTAACATTCAGAACAATTTCTAGAAAAAAGAATATTTTTTGGAAATCCTGTACATTTTTTGATTTTTTTGAAAAGGAACACTTTGTAAAATACTGATTTTTTTGCACAGGTTTCAAAAAGAATAATAAAGTTCAAGAAGGAGAAAATCAATTAACCAAAAGAGAAGAAAAAAATGCTTAGGCCCTAGAAAATAAATATATTCAAAAATTATTCGCAAATATGAAAAAACGCTGGCAAATTTGAAAAAGTGTTCGCATCTTCGCAATGTGCATGCCCACCTGTTGACCAATGTTGATGCCTTTTTTGAATGTCCAAAAAAAACCATGTACAACATAAGGTGCCTAGATATGTGACAAGGCTGCACTGAGAGCATGTTGTTTCTCAACATCCGTTAAATAACCTCAATTTTTTTCATTGACTTGTATGACCAATTCAAGGCACCGTGCCAAGTTGTTTTGGTTTTCTAGAAATTTTCCATTTTCTGGTGTTTTTCTTAGTAAAAAAGGCGATGAATGGACGGATGTGACGCAACTTGCATATGGTGTCGGAAATAATTCAAACTTGGCATGGATGCCTACCATGAGCATTCTCACCTGCTCGTAAAAGTCGGGGTCAGTCCATACATGTCCGAAAATATACCATGTTTAACAGAGGTGCTCGGGTAGGCCAGAAGGCTCTGTATGAGAGCATGTTTTATTCGACATCTTTAAATGACTCCAATTTTTTCCCATAAGCTTAAATAGCCAATTCAAGGCACCATGCCAAGTTGTTTGCGTTTTTGACCGTTCTTTCAATTTCTATAGTTTTCTCGATGAAAAATGGCTATACATGCTCGGACATGACACAACTTGCATATAGTGTCAAAATTCGTTCAAACCATGAGCATGCCCACCTATTGGCAATAGTTGGATCATTTCATGCATGTCCAAAAAATCGACCATTTTCAATGGGGGTTGTTTGGGTAGGCGAGATGGGTCCGTATGAGAGCACGTTTTATCGGCATGGTGAAATGACCCAAAAAATTCCATGAGCTTATATCACCAATTCAAGGCACCATGCCAATTTGTTTGAGTTTTTTTTTGCAATTTATGAAGTTCTCTCGATGAAAAATGGACCACAAATGGCCGAACGTGACGCAACTTGCGCATGGTGTCAGAAATCATTCAAACCTGGCATGATTGTCTGCCATGGGCATGCCCACCTGCTAGAAAAAATTTGGGGTCATTTTATGCATGTCCAAAAATATACCATGTTCAATGCAGTGTGTTTCGGTAGGCCAGATGAGTTCGTATACGAGTGCTTTTCTTGCATCTTCAAATGACCCCAAATTTGTCCATGAACTTTTATGACCAATTCAAGGCACCATCCCAAGTTGTTTGAACTTTTCGGCAGTGTTTGCATTTTCTGGAGTTTTCTTGGTGAAAATGATCGATAAATGGCCAGACGTCACACAACTTGCATAAGGTGTTGGAATCGTCCAAACCTGGCATAGATGCCTACCGTGCGCATGCCCATCCACTGGCAAAAATTAGGGTGCTCTCGAGAATGTCCAAAACTAGACCATGTTTTAAACACACGAATTTGTTTTCCTGAAAAAACCCAGAGTAAAATAAAACAAAAGCCGGTTTTAAACACACAAATTTGTTTCCTGAAAATTTGTAAAGTTACATTAGCCACATAAGAAGCTAAAAGGAAAGGAAGTGTTCAAAAAATTGTTCAAACTGTTAGTTCTAAAGTTTGCATGCTCCTCATATTTCTGTAAAAGTGTTCAAAATGTTGCTTGGAAAAAATG